GCGGCCCCGCCCCCCGCCCAGCGCGGGAAAAGGCCACGTGCGATGTGTGCACCGCCCCTACAGCTCCAGGTGCACCCCGCTATAGGCTTTATCCACGGTCCACTCGCCCGGGGCTCCAGGCCCGGCCCCCGCCCCCGCGTAGCGCTCCATCATCTGCTGGAACTGCAGCTGCCGCAGGCGGTTGGGATCCACGTTGATCCAGTTGTTGGCGATCCACTTGGTGCCTTGGGTGACCAGGCAGCCCCCGTGCAGGGCGAAATCGTCCAGCTCCCCCACCCAGCCTGCCGAGCAAAACAAGCCCTGTCAGGAGGGGGCGAGGGGTGCTGCCAGGACCGCACCGGGAGGCGCAGAAACACCTTCAGCAGTTGGCTCCTCCTGGCACCCCTCCACGGGGCTCCCCTACCCTAGCACCTATGAGGAGCTCACCAGTGCACGTTCCCTGAGTGCAAAAACACGTGCTGCCTCCCTGTCTCCACTCAGCACAAGGGACTCTCTCATTCTGCATCACAGCTGCCGTTTATTCTCAGCTCTTCCCAAAAGGAGAGGCATGGAAGAGATGAGTGCTGCTGCTGGCCTGCCCGTGGCAGCCAGAGGCTCATGACCATATTAGACATCGCATGTCAGCAGTTCTAAGTGATCTCCTCTGTAAAGAGGTCCCATGGTGGCAGCCTTGCATCAGCAGCTGCCCTCCATTTAGGAACAATTTTGTAAAAACACAACAGGGTTCTTCTTACAGGAGAGTAATGGTCTTAATATTATCATTCAACAGCCCAAATGCCGTTCTTGCGGATTTTCTAGAGATGGGAACAGGCTACTCCCAGGGGAGCTGGGATGCCATACCCCTTCCTCCCACCACTGCTCAAAATCTGCCATCGAAACACTCTGGACTCACACTGGCCAGCAGGCTGGAAGATTCATATCAATCCCCCAGCCTGGCTGTCAGGGAAAACTCTGCTGGACTTCGTGAGAAAAACAGCCCCAAGGACATTTATCATCAGGCTGTGGCTGAGCTGTAAAGCAGGAGGTGGCCCCAAGCCCCAAGCACGGCAGAGCCTTGCGAGGGGCGGGCTGTGCCCCCCTGAGCGGCAGAGCTGATGGCCGTGCCTTTGTCTACCTCACTTCTCCGCCCCCTTGGGCAACACCACATCAGTGAAACATTTTGAATTGCAGACCAAGTTCCAGCAGGAGTTTCAGCTCGCACAGCTGGATAGGAGGCAGCTGGCAATGGCGAGTGCAGCCGAGGTCTTTGTTTGCTAGCTAGTCCTGTCCCCTAAAGACAAAGACATCAGGAGCCACTGACCTACTGACTGTAAACAAAGGCCTTTCAGAGTCAGGAAGCTCCTACCCAGCTGGTGACAAGTAGACTCCACAGTTCCCACTAGCAGGCAGCTACCACCCTTTGGCTCTCATCTGAGCTCCCAGCAAGAAGATGACTGTCACCTCTTGCAGTCCCACCCCTCCCAAGGGCCTAATCTCAAAACAGGAACCTACCTTCTCCATCGGAAAGGTAGTTGTACCAGAAGACAGCAGTGCCTTGCTGAGGCTTCACTCGCAAATTGCCCTTATCACAGTTCTTCCGAGTGTCTCGCAGGTCAACGTCGTTCTGGATCAAAGACTGGCAAGAAACCAGAGAGAAGGTGTTGCAAATGGGGCTGGAATGAAGTGCCCACACTGGAGAGCCTCTGCTGCCAGCCATCATCCTGCCCTTTGCCTGAGCACAGGGATGGCTCGAGGCTGGTGCTGGGCAGGACAGGGCTTTCACAACCCACCCGGAGCAGCCAGTTTCAGCCCCCCTTGGAAGTCCACAATCTGTTTCTGAGCAGCCACTCATTCCTTAACACGTTGCCTAACAGGAGCACAACATACCTGCCAAGGCTTAGTCAGGGGAAATCTGCCCAGACAGAAGTGAGCAGGACACGTGTCACAGCAGTGAGGCCAACAGACCATCCCTCACACCTCTGAGCAGGGAGAGCTGCAGCTCTCTCAGCCCTGCACCTCCTCCCTTGGCCTCAGAAGGACACAGCTTCCCCATGCTCTAGCTACAAAGGCTAATGTCCACCAACCTCACACACCAGATCGCTGGTGAATACAAACACTCCAAGAGGGACTCAAAATTCCCAGGGGGTAACACGTAGGTGAGATTCATTTACCATCTCTTCGTACGTCCTGTTATCAGCTATAGGAAAGACTGTTTCTCCTCCCCCAGTCACGTTGTTCAGGTAGAACAGCACTGTCACATACCTGCAGGACAGAGTGGCTGTCAGGGGGACACAACTGGCACAGGAGGGGGTGCACAGGGGCTGTCTGTACCCTGCCCCTCCACCGTGCATACAGCAGTTCCTCCAACACGTCACAAGATACAGGCTTCATATAATCCACTTTTCTCCAAGGACAAGGACAACCAAGCAAATCCCCTCCTGCAGTGGTGAGGGTGTTTCCAGCCTCTGCCAGGGATGCTCTGCAGAACCACTCTACCCTCCTCCTGTGGACCCACAGTTTCACCCACCTCCACCTCCAATCCCCTTCATGCCTGCGACCTCCAGAGCCGGTTTGTGAGCAGGAAGTCCCCCGCGAGGTGCGGGAAAAGGGCTCCTCCACAGCTCTTCTCCATCACATTCCAGACTTACCGGCAGGAGGTCTCGAAGGGGGCGCTGTCGTTGGCAACCAGCTTGGTGTGGCTGCAGGCGGTCTCGGGGAAGACGGGCCCGCTGTCCATGTGGGCATGGTAGTGCCCTCCCTGGTCATAGCGCACCACCTGCAGGGGCTCGCTGTGCTCCACGATCTCGGGGGGCAGCCGAGTCAGGCGCATTACCCTGGGGAAGAGGAGAGCAGAACAGGAAAGCACCATCACCCTGCTCGGCCGCTACTCCCGAGCACTGAATAAATCCAGAGAAAGGTAACCCCCTTCCTTCCCCAGCAGACCGGAGAGGTGGATGGCCCTGCAGCAAGCATTGCAAGAGATAACCAGGTCCTTTCTGATCAGTTGGACCATCAGCATCGGCTCAGAAAGTCCACGTCAAGTTTAATACAAACACCCCAAACCAAAGGGTGCCTCTCCAGCAGGACTGCTCTTAGGAAGACTTTGCTTGCTCAGCAAGATCCCTTCTGTGTGTGTCCCTGGAGGCTTCACGTGCCATCTCATCGCTTTTCTGCACTCCTGCACACCACTTACAGACCTTGGGGACAGGCAGCAAAGCACAGGGCCCCGGCTGAGAGTGAAGGAGAGACTAGCTCTAGGAATATTCTCATCACCTAACTCACCTTTCCCTGTCGCCTTTTCAGCAGCCTCTCCCCAGGGCAGAGGGGCACGGGAAGGGAAGTGATCAAGGAGACTGGAGCCCTCCTGCTCTGGGATTTTTCCGCTGCTACATCTGAGATCATCCCCAAGGCAAGCAGGTACCTCTTGAGACCTGCCAAAGAACACTCAGAACTCTGAGAATCCGGACCAGTGAAGGGAGGGAAAGTGGCACCCAGGCAGGATGATAAAGCCCCTCCAGGCACCGCATGGTCCCAGGGAGGACAGCAACAGCCTCCTTCGGCCCTGTGCCTACACATCCTTCTCACAGTGGCCAACTGAAGAGTGTAAAAGCAGCATGCCTGTGTGTGCTGGCACGGAGAAGGTGGCAGCCATGGTCTGCTCTAATCAAGGCAATATGTGACCCCATTCTCCTGCTGGAATGTGCTGAAGAAAAGGAGTGGCCAACAGCTGCTTTCAAGCCTCGGGACAGATTTTAGCCACCCATGTTCTGGGCGAGGACCAGCACTACAAGAACAAGAGAGTCTTCAGCCAATTATCTGAAACTCAGCACAGCCAAACAATTCGGCCTGCCTGCTGGGTTTCAGTGCTCCCCAGTACCAAATCTGAGATGAAGGGAAAGGTAGGAGGTTCTCCCATTTGCCATGAGCTATCCTGCAATGAGTGTGCTTGGAGGGTTAAACTCACTTGGCTTACTTGAGGTGAAGTCGTGCTTGTTAAAAAGTCAGCTCTGACAGATTTCAGTGAAATGCATGAGTAACTAAAACAAATGACAGTAACTGCTGGCACCCAGACAGCATTGGAAATGGGCAGTTTCTCCTAGTAAGCTCATTTACTAATTAGAATGAATTATTTCATATAATGCCAAGTCTTCTTGGTTTTATAGGGCTGTTCCCAAAAGTGAATGGAGACGCTGAAAGGCTTGATTTTTCTTTTTCCTTTTCCAGGGGACAATACCAATTCTTGTTCTACTGAAAACCTCCTCTCCCCTTTACACGTCTGTGTTCAGGGCTCTTTATACTCCAAGGACTTTCACGCAATTAGGAAGTGTCAATATCAGGGAGTTTGCCACTGCCTCTCCCAGCACAGGTGGTGCTGGTGCCTCCACAAACCCGCCCACCCACCCGCCCGGCCCCTACCTTTGCCGTACTGCTCTCATCACCTGGTGAGCCCCCTCGCCCTGGTACAGCCAGGTGTGCTGGCTGTTGCGCACCAGGTCGCTCATCTTCACTTTCTGGCTTCCCATGTACTTGTGGAAATCACGGATGTTCAGTTGTTTGAACTCCTCCAAACTCAGCACACCTAGGGGAGAGGAAAAGCTGGCTGACTCTGGTGTAGGCGTTAACAGGTCTGTCTGGGCATCCTCTGCGTGGAGAAACCACCTGCTGGGAGCACTGCAGGAACTGCCTTCCTCAAACAAACCCCGTGGGGGCCACCACTGCACCCACCACAGGCTGCACCCTGTGTGGCAGAATCACAGACCCCAGCCGTGGGCAGGCAGCAACCTGCAAATGTGAACCCTGGGGTACTGTGCAGGGTTAGGACTGGGACAGGCAATTTTGAACTTTAAAAAGCTCCTAAAACACACAAACCAATCCATCCAAAGAGAGGAACAGCCACTGCAGTTCTGACACAGGCAGTGCTACAGCTAAAAAGCCTGCACCACCTGATGCCTCGGGGCTTGTTACTTAGATTCTTAAACAGACACACTTAAGAGCAGAGTGGGACACCTCAGGCCACATTTTCTACAAGACCCTGCCTGGTAATTTTAAAAAGCTGAACCCCAAACAAGTAGTACATTCCTCTGCATTTGTGTAATTGCAAAACATGAGCAAGAAATATAACAGGGCAGAAGTAGAAGTAACAGAAAAGTGAGAGGTAAAAAGTGGTTTCTACTGAAACAGGTACTTCTTGTTTGCAACTACTCTTGTTTGGACTTGGGAAGAGATGGACTTCTGCCTTTCTCAGCTTCAGAAAAATCCTCACATTGCTTGTTTCCCCTTTCTGGGGAAGGAGGAAGCCCTGCACCGGGGACCAGGCACCGGAGTGTGCGGAGCTGCAGTGCTCCCTGGGCACAATGCAGCCTCCTGCAGGAGGAGGGATCAGCCACCAGGGCCAGCCTGGGACAGTTCCTCAGGTCCTCAGTGGTCATGACCAGCCCATCCACACCATTATTATTTCCAGTCTCTGTCTTCACTTCCTCTTACTCCACGGGGTCTTTGATGAGGCAGCGCCGCATCCAGGTTGTGACCTGATCTCTCAGTGTCACATACCAATCTAACAAGAAGAGAAGCAGCTCTCTGGAAGCAAGGTCCTGCCAAGAGCACTTCAACAGGACCTTTCATTTGTTAATGTCCGGAAGAGTGGAAAAGCCACTGAGGACTCAGCCATAGGCTCCTGCCTCTGCCAGGGACACAGGGTGCCCCCGGATATTTCAGCATTCACAAGGGTACTGCTTCCACGTCAGGCAGCTCCTTCTGGGCAGCTCTCAATGCCAGTCACTAGAAGAGAGCATGCAGAGCCTGTGTGTTCACTTAATTTGATTAGGAAATGGAGAGTTCCTTAATTGAGGCCACTCTAATTAGAGCAGCAGAGGTTAGAGTGTATGTCCGGAGCAGCAGGAGCCCTTGGGAGACCAGAGGCAGGAGGGACACAAGTGGCCTCATGGAATGCAGAGTTTGCAGTGGCAGAGAGGGGGCTCAGCAACAAGACCACCTTCACCTCCACTTATGCAGCCCTCTCTTGCCAGTGACACAGCGCTCCCAGGCTGCTGCAGAAGTCTCCCTGAAAACAGGGGATTCTGGAAGGTGCACCTAAAATCCAGCGGGCCATGGAAGCAGAAGCACACCCTGAAGGTCCTGTTACTGCAGGGCATGGACCAAGGCAGATCTGATGAGGGAGAGGGAGTGCAGGGCTGTGTCCTAGTCCTGCTTCTGCCAGAGCCAAGAGCAGGCAGTGGAATTAGTCTGCTGCTAGACTGGAAACGAGGGGGCAGGAGTTATTTTCCTTTGAAGAACACAGCTGGAGAGGCAGGCCTGGGCAGGGACACGGCTCTTGCTCTGTGCCCTGCATGATTTTGTGAGACATCCAGCGTGCTGAGGGCAAAGAGATTCCTGTGGAGCTGCTCTTACCATTCCCATCAGGATCAGCCTTGACTGCGCTGTACATCTCCCGGATGTTTTCCGGGGTCATCCACCTGCCGTTCCCAAGCCGGGTGTGGGTCAACACCTGAAATTCAGAAATGGATCAGCACCAGGCACTGGTTTCTTGTACTAGTGAAATGTCAGAGATTCCCTGCTTGAGGCATGGTGGGATCTCCTCTGCAGAGCATCAGCCAGCCAGGCGTCAGTACGTCTCTGCAGAAAGCAGATTGCAGTGACAATCATCTGGCAGCCACACACAGTGTGTGGCTGATGAGTGCTGTTATTTCCAGTTTAGGTCATGGCAAATGACTGCTGGGATTCAGTTAACCAGTCATGAGATGGAGGGGGCACAGCTCTTTCTAGTGAAAGGAAAGTAAAGCTACTGATGATAACAGTGAATACTTTTACTTCTCCAAGATAAGGGCTTGGAACAAAACACTTCCTTTCCATGTGGACAGGGAGATGCAGTATCCTGGAGAGCTCTCAACAGGCTCTGACCTCCAGAGAAAGGAGCCGTGCCCTGGCAATTCCTCATATTCCACATGTGCTGCCCACACATCCCCAGCTCCACCTGAAACGGGAGCCTGGGGAGGGTCATCCTTGAACTGTGACACCTGCCCTGCTGCCCAGGGCCAGGGAGCTGCAGAGCAGTGCACGAGGTGCTCATTACTCCCCAGGGTCATCAGTAGGGGTGGTTTTGCTGATGCCTAGTCAACTGAGCACAGTCTGTCCCCACAGGCTGCACAAACGCTACAAATTCACCTCCCTGTTACACCAGCAAGAGGAAACCATGGCACAGGAACATTTTACCCAGCATATTCAAAACTCACATCTCCTGCCAAGGTCTGTTGCTACTGCCCAGTAGCATGACAACTGTTGCAGGTTTCCCCAGAAACTGTCATGCTGAGGGCCAGGACAAGTCTTGAGATACAAAAATAAGCAAATACTGATGGGTGTATACTGGGGTCTGGCCCTACCCAAGCACACAGATGATTGAAAGACCATCTGAGACGGGGACCACCCACAGGGTCCCCCAGGAAACTTCCCCTGCTCTCTCCCACATTCTCTACCTCTTTGAGCTGCAGCTGCCCATCCTGATTGTGGTCCAGCAGATTGAAAATGTCCATCTGGCTGATTTCTATCATTTCCATGGCTTCCTCATAGTCATCTGTTGGCAGGATCTGGCTCTTCTGCAGCCCCTTCAGCTGTGCCAAATGGACAATGAGCTTGCACTCCTCCTCTGACAGGAAGTCAGGAATTTCTGCAGCAAAAGTATGAGCAGCAACAGAGACTGAGGAACTGTTAGATGGGACCTCCTACCAATGGCAGGCCACTCAGAAGACAAAAAAACCCCAAACAAGGTGTGTGTGTGGCAATTTAGAAACTGCCTAAGTTTGGGACTTTCAAACACATCCAGCCTTCCACCAGGAGAGCTCTCAAAGAGCACACACCTGAGGTGGGTATTTTTACAGCAGCAATTCCTAAATGTTTGGATCCAGGGGTCAAGCCCTTAAAGTCTCTTGCTGATACCACAAAGGACAAAGGAGTGAACAAACACGCATATCACCGTGTATTATCACTTCAAAGGTGACATGTGGATCAGAATCTGGGAATGGCTGCCCTTCAGGAAGGCAGGACAAACCTCTGCTGTAGGCAGTGGAGATGGCCAAGGGTTTCCAGCTTCCTTCCTGTCCTGTGGAGAGGACAGCACTTTGCACAAACCCAAACACCTTTTAGGGGAACCTGGCAGAGTGCTCTGCCATGGAGCTCAGACAGCAACGGGACAACTTCCAAACTTAGTCCCACTCATTCCCATGATCCCTCACTAAGGATGATCTTCAAATGCAACATTAAAGGGGAAGATACTGCGCGTGGCAGGTGCCACACTCCACACCCCAGCAGCAGCCTGGTGACACCAGCTTTCCTTCGCAGCACGACACCAGCAGCAATCAGGCAATACCAGGATCCCAAGCAAATTTAAACACAGGGAAACTCCCTGGTGACTATGAGGCCAAGAGATTTCCAGCTGCATGGTGCACTGGGCATACACTGGGCATACACTTGCAAAGGGCTGGTGAGGTCCTGCTCCACAGCACAGCGACACTGCGGCCCAGGAGGTTGAGAAGATCCTTCTGCCTGATGTCTGTCCCTGCTGCAGGGATCTGGTTACCAGCTGCTGAGACTTTTGAAGAGAGGAAGAAAACCCACCAAAGGAGGAGAGGCTCCTACGCCCAAGGCCCTGCTCTGGAAGTTTGTTACATCAACCCTATCAGCTCGAACTGTCCATAAGCAGTTGGCTTCTTGCTAAGGACAGACCAGAACTAGCCCTGAGATGTTCCTGGGAAGCCCCAGAACACAAGGCAGCAGCTGTATCCGTAACATCCTGCGAGGAAACAATTTCCGGCACCGGCTCCTGGTGCCAGGGGATCCTTCAGAGCCGGAGGTGCCGCTGGAGCCTCGTGGCACAGCACCAGCTCCGAGCGAGCCGCGCGCTGGCAGGCAGCATCCCAGCACTTCCAGTGCCCCAAACTGGGCTACAGTAATGACGGCTTCTGGAATCTTAATTACGTGCTGGAGGAAGGACAATCCTGCTCTTCAGAGTAATGGGATTTTGTAACGAAGGCGGGAAGCTCTGTCAGGCTGGGAGGTGAGGGGGCTTCCAGCTGGGGGCTGCTAATCCCCTCTGCAAACAACCTGGCTTCACAGCTGCAAATGAGTTCCTCTCTACCCCTCAGCTCTCTGAAACAGTTAACTTCTGGCTGTGAGACCATCCTATCTCTCTGCCTGCTCAACAATAGATCCAGCTAAACAAATGCCTCCTAATTGACTTTGAGCAACACTTGATTGCTTTTAGAAAAAACAAAAGAGGAAAACATTGGGGTTTATGAAATAATGACTAATCCTGGAGCAAGAGAAAGGGGATGGCGTTGGAGCACTGGTGTCAAACAGAGATTCAATCTCAGCTGAAAGAGCCCCAAGACACATAGGCCAAGTCATTCATCCCTCCCCAACTGTCCTCATTTCCACACCTGCTGATCTGAGCCAAACCCCTGCTAAAATCCAAACAATCGGGGCCGCTGGCAAATGAAAATTGGAGCATTGTCTTCCCCATGAGGGCTCCGAAAGGGCTGCACATAATGAGGATGGATTGACAGAGAGGTGGCTCCTGGGCTATAAAAGGCGTCCCCCGGTCGGCGGCAGCTCAGTCCGGGTGCAGCGCCCGCCGCTCCCAGCTGGTCCCGCGGCTCCCAGCATGGCGAAAGGCC